AGCCAGTCTGCCTAGAATCCAAATTAAGAAGGGGAGGTGACATCATCGCAGGTGTGTCTCCAGAACATAAGTTTATAACGCTTCTGGCTAGCCAAGTTGGAAGGGAGACAAGGATTTTAAAACCCTCAAGTTATTCTCTTTGTGGACACTCACCATCGTTATCTTCAAATAAAAGCATCTGTGTCCCCCACCCCCACCTTCTGGGCTCTGATTCCTCACTGAGAAGTGTCTTGTAAACCTCGGAAGCAGAAGAAAACCCTCGGTGACAGACAGCACAGAATGTTCTCTCCTTAAGACTGTAAATATTTTGCCTTCTAGAAGGGATCTCCTATCACGAAAACTTCAGCTCTTCCTAAATCTGCAAATATGAACTGTGACATTTATGATAATTCCGAAATTCAAGTTTTATGTGCCAAATTTGCTGATAACATTTGAAAAGGGAATCCCTGGAATGTTTACAAAAGGTCAATGCGGTAGGTGAGAGAAAAGCCAAATTCAAAAACTAAAGGGCTGGAGAGATGGCCCAGAAGTTAAGAGCACTAGCTGCTCTTCCAGAGGACCTGGGTTAAATCCCAGCACCCACCTGGCAGCTCACAACTGTCTGTAACTACAGTTCCAGGGTTCCAAAACATCATCATATAGACATACATTCAGGCAAAACACCATTACACATAAATTTAAAAAATTGTTTTTAAAAAAAGAAGCAAATCAAAAACAAAGGTAAGGCAGCTTCCAGCCCCCCCCCAAAAGTTCAACTCCTACAGCTGCAATGGTGTACGCCTATAATTGCAGAGTTAAGGAGGCAGAATTTGAAGCTAGCCTCATCTACAGAATGAGTTCCAGGTCAGCCAAGCCTATGTAGAGCAACCCTGTATCAAATATATACTCAGCTCTTAGACCTGAGTTAAAGAGTTCCTTTTACTAAAATCCTACATTATTAAATGCCTGCTATTCACCAAGATTTGTATGAGGTACTAGAGAGAAAACTGATACGGTATCTCAAGGAACTTAGAGGATAACAAAAAAGAAAAATTTAAAAATAAATAGTAAAATGCCTATAAATCAACATGAAAACAATCCTGTTTTAAACACAGGGCAAAGCAGACGTGGGCAGAAGTCTACGAGTGGCTAATAAACCCATGATGCATTGCTCGGCTTAGTTAGTGGAGACATGGAAATTAAAATTACAGCAAGGTGTCACTCCACAGCTATTAAAATTTCTCACGTAAAAATGATTGGCAGCAAAAACTCTTGGCAGGACGCTATGCAAGTGGGACAGCCATGCACTGCCAGGGACGATGAAGAAGGGGCAACTAAATAGACATCCACCCTCTAACCCGGAGGTTTCATTTCTAGATACACATACCCGAAAGACATTGTAACACCTAACTATGTAAAGACATACACAAGAGTGTTTACAGATGCCTTGTTTACTAGGATGAAAAATAATGCCCATTAACAGGGAGATGGAGAAACAGACTGGGGTAGTCAGACACTGAACTGTGAAGGACAAGTTATTGATAAGCAAAGCAACATGGATGCCAGATGTCACCGGAGAAAGAATATACACTGGGAGTGCCTAGTTCAAACACTACAACTTACAAGCTTGCTCTACGACAACAAGGCCAATGGAGTTGGACGGTGGCTGTCTCCAAGACTGTGTGTCTGTGTGTGTGTGTGTGTGTGTATAGCTCACTGGAAATGTACAGCAAGAAAAGCTTGGGGGTGGTGGGCATATCTGGACCTCGAGTGAATGGTGGTTGTCTAGTTTATCAAACTAAACATTAAAAGTTGTATGCTATGTTGTCCTTTGGTTATACTCTGGCTTTCAGATGCTTGGAAAACGTAAAATTAGAAATACTGGATATTTGTGTGGAGGGTTTGCATTATACTGATTTCAAGATCTTTCAGCCTCTCAGTACTGCCACAGAACATGAGTTTACCAACAAGTGCTCTCCGTGATGGTGAGAGGATGCCATGGAAAGGCCGCTTGCTCTATGGAGACTCTGAAGCCTGAGCAGGACCATGTCATGGGCTTCTATGCACTACCTTACAGATGCTTTGAGTTGGGGGGCTTTCACATCCAAACTTCAATTACTGCAAGAGATAGAATTTTAGAAACAACACAAGAAGTGCAGGGAATGTTTTAAATGAGGCCTAAGATGGGAATGAACTTGTATCTTCTGCAAAGTCAAACCAGCTGGACTAGAACACTTATCCATCCTTAAACAATATACCCACGTGAGTGAGGAGGCTGAAATGGGCTCTATAACTTCTAGACATGTGAACATCTCTCATGGGACATTCAGTTCCTACATTGAGAGACATTCCTTGTGTTAGTTGCCTTTGTCATTCTAATGCATTGTTCAACAGGACAAATTAAGAGGGGGGGGATTGTTTATTTTAGCTCACACTTTCAGAGGGTTCAGTCAGTTGTGGCAGAAAGGGCATTTCCTGCCAGGGCAGGAAGCAAGAGAGGAGAATGCAGGCATCATTTTCCTTCTTTCTGTCTGTGTCCCTAGCCCTCAGAATGGTACTACCCACTTCACAGTAGGTTAGTTCTTTCTGGAAAATCCTTCACAAGGCACCCAGACGTGTGACTCACCAATCGCCTAGGTGACTCTAAATCCAGACAATGTGATGATGAAGATTAACTAACACACACCTTAGGGGCCTTGAAATTTTACCATTTATCTCCCAGAACTCTGCTCATGATGACAACATACAATTACCTTAAAGGTATTTGCACATTGCCAAGAGCTGAATGTTAGGGTTCCCCCAAATTCATACGCTGCAATTTGATCCCTACTGCTGTAGAACTGAGAGGCAGGATGCGGACGACTGGGTCATGAGAACCCTGAATATTCATGTTGGAGATGGCATGAAGACATTTGGGGCTGGAGTGTGGATCAGAGGGGTAGGTAGGTTTTGAAATACATCTTGTCTCCTCCACTGTGAAAATCACCAAGTCACTCAAGGATTCAGCAATCCAAGCATCAGTGTGTTCCTTACAAGCTTTTGCTCAGGTTTGAGGCCATCTTCCCTGCCTCCCTCCTCTTCTGATTCCTGTGTTCTGACCCCATTCCTGCTCCACCCCAGTCTCCACTTCTTCCCCTCCTTTGATACTCCAACCACACTGGCAACCTTGCTGTGGCTTAAACACATGACTGCTCCCACCTCTCTGTAGAGGGGGCGGGAACGATGGCTCAGAAGTTAAGAGCACTCACTGCTTTTGTAGAGAACCTGGGTTTAGTTTCCAGCACCTACGTGGAAGCTCACAACTGTCTGTAATTTCAGTTCCATGGCATCTGACACCTTCTTTTAGCTTCTGTGGGCACCAAGCACACATATGGTGTATACACACACACACACACACACACACACACACACACACACACACACATCTCTTTATCTATCCATTGCTGTTTTTCTGAGATAGAAACTTGTTGCGTAGGAGCTGGCCACACCCTCACCATCCCTGAGCCTCCACCTCTCAAGTTCTTCTTCTCCCAATTAAGGAATAGTGACAGTTGATGTCTAACATGGCTCTTTCTGTGGGCTAGACACTTTACTAATGTATGCTCTTATGATTTAAAATTTTCATGTACCATGCATATCCTTTATGCCAAAGATCACTTCTTAGATAGTGAAAAATTAATTTCAAAATATTTAAATTACAATATTATTGTAGTGAATAGGTCTACCTAGGGGAAGACTTAACATCACAGGTGAGTAGGTGAAGGACTGCGGGGTAGTGCCAACTGTTAGTCTTGAGCAAGAAAAAGTTCTAACAGCTGAAGTAGTGGTAGGAAAAGTCTACAGTAAAATGCTGTTAATAATAACAACTCATGTTTTATGACCTTGTAGAGTTTACAAAGCATTCCCACAACTTTTACTTCATTTGACCCATTTAGTAGCTCCCAGGGCTCATTACTATTAAAGTTAATAAAATAGAAGAAGGTAGATCTTTTTTAAAAAGACTTTCATGATGGATGTCCTATCTGCCCACTCCTTTCCCTTAGATGTCCCAAGAGCTAACTCTTACACCCTTTGCAAACCGCTCCTTAGAGGTCATCTGTAATGGGCAACCTTGACAGTCGCTATATAAAAGTACACTCTGTCCTCCGTTGGCCATTTCCACCCCCCCTCCTGCTCTGCATCACTCATGTGTCTACTACACTCCTCACCTTCAACACTCCATGACTTGTGCTTCTTTGTCACATTTGTTACCTTATTGTATTTAGTCTATTATCCTAGTCTCCATTGTCCACTCTCCATGCAACAATTGTCTGTAACCGCCCTTTGTTTATTCACTAATTTACCTTAGGCCCTAGAGTCTTGTCTGTCAAATGATTCAGCAAATTTTCATCACATAAACGTGTTACTTTTCCTATGCCTCTCTAGCTAACTGAATGACTGTACCTTCACCCTTGTGAGCGCCGTCATTTTTTCCCCTTCCGCCTACACAACTCTCCACTCGGGATATTAATGAACAGTGTTTTGACCATCAAAAAATAGAACAAATGTTCCAGAAAGGCTATTACGGTGATCATAATAGAAGATAGCTTGGCAATCACCCTTGACCCTACGTTTCCCTATCAAGTGACTTCTACAAATAGTTGAGACTACTGGCGGTCAAGGCCTTCAGCCTCACTGTGCTATCTTTTTCTCCTGCTTCCCTTACGCAGTACAGCACGTACCAAATCAACACTGTAAGGAAATACAACAACTGCATCTGAGTAGCCTTTGCTTGAACTTGGGCTCCAAACAAAACTCTGAAAAAAAAAGATCAAGTTGGTGATGGTTGTGGCCTTTGTTTGACCTTGAGTTGTGGATGAATCCATTCATCTCATTTGATAGCAGGAAACTGATTTGTGATGGCAACTTAGAAAGTGGTGGTGAGGGGTGTGTGTGTGTGTGTGTGTGTGTGTGTGTGTGTGTCAGAGAGAGAGAGAGAGAGAGAGAGAGAGAGAGAGAGAGAGAGAGAGACCCTGACTTACCATTGGCCTCACACAAGGGTAGACCCTGGAGGCTGGTGAGGCTTAAGTGTCTCTGAACAAGGTGATCATTTTCTGTGTGAGCCACTCGAGTACTCACTGTAGCCATTAGTGCAGCTCTCCTGCTGTCTGCTGCTGTTTCTAGATGTCTCCTTTATTCTCTTCTTGTGACCAACTGACTGGTGCCATCCCTGAGAGAGAATGAAACTATCTTTGAGTGTTGTAAATGAGAGCTGCTAATAACTCCTATCCCCTGGTACCCTCTAGGTCATCAATAAAGTCACAAAGTAAGTAGACGCCCTTGGTTTGGGCAGGGATTTCCAGCCAACCAGATACATCCTGAGGACAATGTGATGGCTAATTCCATGTGTCAATTTGACTGGGATACAGACTGAACATGTGTATGAGGGTGAGTTGATAAACTTGATAACGCCAGTGGCCAACTCTGATGTGGGTGAGCCTCATGACCAGCTGAAGATCTGCATAGGATGGAAAGGCTACACAACAGGAAACCCTTTCTTTGGGACTACCTAAGCAGAGACACTGGTTTTCTCTAGCCCTTCTTAGGCCTCTGCCATGAATCTTCAGGTCCTGGGACTTGCTGGTCTTCATCACTATCAGAAGAGGCCAGCCATGAACAAGGAGCAGTTTGCAGTGCCTCCTGCACCCTCTGCTCTGTTCTGAGCAGACCCCACAGGCAGAGCAGCCACAGAGGATGTGAGAATCACGGCTTCAATACAATCTATAGAGCTGTTCAAGCCAGAGAGGGTCCCGGGAGGCTTGTGCTTGACAAGAACTTGGCTAACTGCTCTCTTGAGTCCATTCTTCTTGGGACATCTATAGCCATAGTGTGGTTTACTCCACACTGCTCCAGACACCTGAGGTTCAGACTCTTAGTCTTTGGTGACTATAGTAGGTAATTACCAATACGGAGTCAGGTAGAAATATAAGGGTATTTAAGAGGGAAAAGCCTTCCTTACAGAGCGGCCCAGCCAGCCGGTGGTAGTCTGTACAGCAAGCAGCAAAAAAAGAGAAACGAAACCGAAACGCAGTCCCCCTACTCACTCTGACCACACCCTCACAAGCCCTCAGGTACTCCTGTAGCCAGCCCCTAAGAAGGCGTGGCTACAGCTTCCCCTACAATTCCCCTTTTAGTCTAAAAGAGGATTAAAACTTAACAGTATAAGCAAATAACTATCTATTTTAACTAAACCCTAAAGTCATCTGAAAGAGGTGTCCAAGCCTGAACACCGCCTTCCAAAACGAACCATAAACAATAGGAAGCTATTCCTAACTAGGTATATACAGTATCCTAAGTGACAACAATGGGGAAAGGGGGCGTAGCATTTTCCAAGTTAGTTTGGATGTAATTGGCCCCCATAAGCTCACAGGGAGTGGCATTATTAGGAGGTGTGGCTTTGTTAGAGCAGGTTTGGCCTTGTTGGAGGAAGTGTGTCACTGTGGAGGTGGGCTTTGAAGCCTCACATATGCTCAAGCCATGCCCAGTGTTTCAGTTCACTTCCTGTTGCCTGTGGGGTCAACATGTAGCTCCTTCTCCAGCATCATGTCTGCCTGTCCACTGCCATGTCCTGCCATAATGACAATGGACTAAACCTCTGAAACTGTAAGCCACCCAGTTAAATGTTTTCTTTTGTAAAAGTTGCCATAGTCATTGTGTCTCTTTAAAGCAACGGGAACTAAGACAGTCACCATGCAAGACATACTGCCTTTACCACTCCCTGCCATCTAATTCCAGCCTTCAGTTTGGAGAGGATGTGGACAGTTTACTATGACAGGTCATTACTGTTATACTAACCCCATAGCTAGCTCTTTGCCTATCAGGATAGCCCGAATTCCCATCTCAGCAAGAGCCTGAAAGAGTTTCCCTAAGTACCAAGATAGCACAGGAGGGGCCCATGGACTCCAGAGAGTATCTACATTCCTGAGGGCTTCCCCTGGCCAGCACAGGGCAAGTAAATCAGTGAACCATCTGTAAGGACAGGGAAAACGGAGCTTTTCAAGCCTGCATGGTGCCTAGAACATTCCCATGTCTGTAGCCAACCCCTCTCCCAGGAGGGAAAAATCACAGGTATCTCAAAAACAACCTGCTTGCTGCCATAACCTAACAAGCACACTCTACAGTGGAGCCAGGGAGAAAACCACTTGGAATTACCTGATTGCGGGGTATTCATTTCCAGCAGACATTTGCTGAATGCCTACTATGTACCAGGTCCCCGCCATTTGTAGCACGCTCCCTTCTGTCTGTCTTTTCACTCAGTCTCTCCCTCTGTCCTTAATGCTCTTGAAGCTGTGAGGAACGTAGTGCTCCGTGACAGGCCTCTACAAGTCCAACAGAGTTGGCCCAGTCTGTGATTCATGTCTTCTCCGTCCAAAAAATAAAAATAGAGGCTGATCCACCCCAACCTTCCCGAGAGATTAAAAGATTTCTAAGCCAAAACAAGACCTGAGATAAGCTGCCTACGTGTGAGGGAAGAGGCCGGTGAGCTCCCCTGTGCCAGCAGCGTCCGGGAAGGGCTCCTGCAGCGTGATGGAACTTGTCCTGGCAGCCACTAGCCTCCCCAGGTCCTGTTACACATGTGTGCAAGAGGTAACAGAGGCGTCCGTATGCACAGCCCTGGGTGCCCCCAGAACCTGTCACTGTTCCTCTGTATCTCCTACTTGGAAAGTAGGAAATTATTTTTTTTAAGCTTCCTCCCAGTTGATCATGGATACTTTTAATAAGTAAATAGCTCTTCCTAATCTGATCCATTGAAATACATTGTTTTATTTGAGAATTTCATACAGAATATTTTTTTTACCATACTTTCCCATCCTCTAACTCTACCAGGTCTTCCCCCACTCCCTACACAACCAACTTTGAGTTCTTTCTTCCTCTTTTAAAACAAGACAAAAAGAAGAGAAAGAAAGCCACCAAGAACACAAGGTGTCGGATTTGTGTCGGTCAAGTAATCCTGAGCATGAGGCCTGTCCTGGAGTGGGCTCCATGTCATGTCTTCAAATCTTCCGGAATGTAACTGGATAACCTCTCGGCTTTCACATGGGACTCTAGCCTCCTCCAGGGCCACACGCACAGGAGACAGGGAAGGGAGTAAGAGTTGGCTTGTGTGCCCTTCCACTTGATCAGTGTGGTCAGTGAGTGGACGGCGAAACATCAGAACTCTGCTGCTGGGTTGCAGGAGAATCCAAAGAGGGAAGACAGTGCAGGGGGATTCAAATTTAAGTAAGCGATGAATGCCCCAAGCCCTTCAAACACCTGGACCAGTCACAGGTCAGCAGAGAGAGGGAGAAAGGCGATATGGAAAACCATCAGATAGATCAGACGGTCTTGACTGTTTTTTTTATCACAGATTCAAAATTTGTACAGAAAAAAAAAAATTCCTTACAGTTCGGGCAGCTAAGAAGTGCAAGGCCAGGAAAGCCTGTGTCAGGCCTGTGTAGCCTGGCTGTATCGGCCTGCGGCAAAGTGCAGACAGTCAAACTTGTCTGATAAGATGCCCAACAGTTCCCAGCCTGTCTATGACTCCCAGATCAGTCCATCCACCAGGGCAGAGCCCTCTGGCCCTACTCACCATCCGTGAGTTCCACTCCCAGCACCATCCCACTGAGGACCAAGCTGCTAACACCCTAGACTGGGGGGGAGGGGGCAGACACATTCATAGCTCCAATGGCATTTTCTCCAAGTCAGCGTGGCTTCTTCTCTCCTCTTTTCTTCTCTCCTCTGGTAATTGATTTCTGGAGTTCATTAGCGTGATGAGGCATGACCCCCTCCCCCTTAAGTAGAGCTGCTTGCACTCCCCACCCCACCCTGTCTCTTCATACAGATGGGTGCTCCAGAAATGCATATGCCACCTCTGAGGGCATATGATCAGTATGCTTACAGTGGAAAAATCAGGACCTCTGATACTGGAGTTAAGGACTCCAGAGGGGGAAGTTGTCTTGAGGGGTACAAGTGCAAATGATAGAATCTATCTCCCCCTTCCTTTGCCCTCCCTCCCCCATCACCTGGCAAAAACTGCAGCCTTCCATAAGTACAACACCGGTGAGGGCTGCTGGGAAATGGCTGAAGACCACGAGGTTTGGTGTGTAACAGGGACTCTTACTAAGACAGAGGGAAAGGTGCGCCCACTTTACAGGGAAAAAAAAAAAGTGGGTTGCACCTGCCGTCTCTGGTGATTTACAGTTTCCTCAACCCAGCCCACCCTCTCCACTCCAGGGAGTCCTGCCTGCCTTCCCACCTGAGCTGTGAGCAACTGACATGAGGTTCCTATGGCTGCGATAACAAAAGTATCACAAGTGGGCTGGAGTGACAGCTCAGCCAGGATGGGCTCTGCCATCATGCCCGAAGATCCCTGGAACCTGCGTGATGCAAGGAGAGAAGGGTTCCCACAGGCGGTCCTCTGAGATTCCACATGTGCTGAGATGCACAGGCACAATCAATCAATCAATCATCAATCAATCAATCGATGTGAAAGAAAAGTTTAAAGTCCAAGCAGGCAGCTTGATGCAACAGCCCCTCTGTTGATGTCTGGGGGCCAGGTGGAGGCAGGACTCCTACTTCTTTCTCCCTTTCTCCCTCCCTCCCTCTCTCCCTCCTTCTTTCCCTCTCTCCCTCCTTCCTTCCCTCCCTCCCTCCCTCCCTCCCTCCCGGTTTCTGGTGGCTGCCATCATTTTCTGGCATTTCTTGACTTCGGAATCTACACGAGTCCAATCTGCTTCTGTTTGTCATGTAGCTCTCATCTCTGTGTTTACATCCCTCATCTTAGAAGGCCTCTGGCCACCTTAGATTAAATGTCACTCTGTTCTGTAGCATGGCTTTGGTTCAACTTGTTTTTTTTTCCCAAGGTGCCATTTCCAAACGCGGTCACACTTACAGGTACAGGGTAGGGACTTCAAGCTAACCTTTTTGGGGATTTGACTGAACTTAAAACAGCTGCTGAGTCCTACAGAGAGGAACTTTTTTTCATGCAGCTTCTGAAATCCCATGCACGACTTTATGTCCACTCTGTAGCTTGCCTTCCCTGGCTTCTAGATGCCCTCCTCAGTGTCGGCCTTTCAGTGTGTGTGTGTGTGTGTGTGTGTGTGTGTGTATGTGCAACCTTTCCATGTGTAATGCCTCAAGAGCACCAGTGGGGGACTATATGTAACCATCCCTGCATCCTCTATACAAGGA